CATTTTCTTCTGTTCCCCCCCCCCCCCCCCACACACACACACACCGTGGGTCTGTCTATCTGATATCGAGCAGACCATTGATCAGACGGAGATCAGATGCATTAATGTGATAGGATTAGCAGAGGGAGGGGGGTTGAGGGGGTGAGGGGGGGGTGGAGAGACTTTCTCTTGACTGGATTAACCCTTTGCTGCTCAGACCCACAGAGTTTAAACACCATCTACTTTATTAGATGTTATAACGCATTAGAGAGAAAGGCCTTGCCAGATAGTGAGCCCACACGTCTCTGATCTGTTCAGCCTCACGTTTCCTCCATCATCAGCATCTGTAGCTGCTGCTTCATCACACGTTTGTTCAGTTACTAATAATTAATAAATTGTTAATTAACCACCATCGGCATCTTAATGGTCAGCAACTTTCATTTGGCAGATCACATGATCATATCACATGACCAGATTCCTCCTCTGAGTGTTGTCCACCCGCATTAAAATCACAGCTGTTGATCAGATACGAACATGGAGATGCTTTTTGCTGGTTGGTCTCTTCTTCAGGACTTTAGCATTAGCATTAGCATTCCAGGTGGAACACAGGTGGTAACCTTTACCTGGTGAACTGCTCACACATTCTCTGTCCCTCTGTTCACACCTCTCTGATTCTCCCTCCATCATCTCCTCATCTCGTCTTTACAACCATTTATTAATCAGTTAGTAACCTTTATAAACACTTTTAATTATGTTTATTATCTAAAATTATAAATATTTTAATTATTATTAATGAGTAAGAAGCATTCACTTGATCTTGCCAAATAGTGAGCCTGCACCAATGTATGAAAACTGAGATATAACTTCTTTATAATTGTTTGTTTATGATTTATAAAGTGAATTAATAATCTGATTATAAAACATTTATAAATCCTTTATAAAGGCAGTCTTATTGTAAAGTGGTACCGATGTCCTCAGCGCCAAATACCCCAGAATTCAATTCTCCAATTCAAACTATGACCCCATGCAAGATGAAATCTGGACTGGACATCGATCGATCGAAGAGGTTCATATCGAAAAATCTCCAGATATGATCCAGATTTCTACCCTCTCACACACACACACACACACACACACACACACACACACACACACACACACACACACACACACACACACACACACACACAGAGTGAAGGCAGAGGAAGCTGGATCCTCAAAAATGAATGTAAGTGAAACACTTGAGTCTGGTGGTGAAACGGAGCTCCACCGCTCACTGTTACGTCTCGGCTCGAATGTTTGTGAAGAGGTGAAGAGGCCTCCCACACCCGTCTGAGAAGTATGACGGAGACGAGGTATGTGTGTGTGTGTGTGTGTGTGTGTGTGTGTGTGTGTGTGTGTGTGTGTGTGTGTGTGTGTGTATGGACTCACCATGAAATGCGGCTGGGTCAGTATCCGTCTGAGTTCTTTAGCTTCGTGGTTCTCTGGGTAGCAGGAAATCTCTTCCAGTACCTGAGGACGTGGAGAGAGTCGGGTTAAAGATCTCACACACACACACACACACACACACACACACACACACACACACACACACACACACACCTCAGCACCCCACTGTACCTGCTGCACTTCGGAGAATGTAATGAAAGCGACCCGACAACCTCACAACCAACCCCCCCACCCCCCCTTGAACTTCCCATGACTCCGCCCCTCCTACATCTTCCCAGCCAATGAGAGAAGTGTGGAAGTCACTCAATGACTCCAGGGATCCAATCCTCCTCCTCCTCCTCGATGTGACGTGGTTGGATGTCAGCTCCAGTTATTTTGCGCCTGACTGCTGAATGTGGCATTGTAGAGGTGTGTGTGTGTGTGTGTGTATGTGTGTGTGTGTGGTCCTGAAACCTGTGGAGTTAAGACGCACTCTTGTCCTCTCCTTATATGATGTCAGATGTTAACGTGTAACCTAGCAACACCAGTTTTAATACAACAGGAAGAGGAAGCGTCTCGTCACCTCCAGCACTTCAACACTTTAATACTCGTCTCTGATGGTGAGTTCAGTGAAGGTGGCAGATGTGTGATGAGCTCTTACATATTCCAGATGTTTCAAAGCGCCACTTGCTTCGTCTTGGGAGGAGCTCTTAAGGTGGAGGAAGACACAGGGAGAAGAGTTACACCGTCGTCTTGGGAGAGAGCTCACAGGTGAAAGTTTAAGGTCAGAGATGACAGAGGTCAGGGGGAGGGGGAGAGGGGGGTGGGAGCGAGAGGCCACCCCGGCCTTTAATCAGTGCCAGCCAATCAGAGTGCGTTGTGAGATTAGTATCTGAGAGAAACCGTCATTCCCAAGAGAGATTAGTCGTGTGTTTCCAGCTGATAGGTTGTGGAGAGTGAGTTAGCGCAGGGAGAAGAAGAAGAAGCAGCTGAAGTTTGAGTGTTAGACAGGAAACCCAGAAGAGTCCAGCAGAAGCTGCTGCCGTCTGATTGGTTCAAAGCAGAGACGCGGCGGCTCGTCCCTGACGACACAACCACGAGCGAGCGAGGAGTGAATCTGAGGTGAGGCCGGACTGAAGCTGTGAGTTAGACACCTTTAGAGTTTCCCTGCACGGCTGGAGAGCTCAGTGAGGAGGATGATGATGGTGATGATGAAGAAACAGCGGTTCTTCTTCAGACCTGAACGTTATTTATCAGTTTCAACTTTCAGACTGTTTGAGGTTTTGGTCCATGAGTAATTCACAAAACACAACAACCATGAACTTTGGAGGCCGTTTGATAATCAATCAATCAATCACTGACAAATCTAAACAATCTAATAACACACCCAAACAATCAATCAATCAATCAATCAATCTAAATCTGATGTACTCTGTTCCTCATGTCATCTGAACCATCAGTGTCTCCTCTCCTCCAGCTCCGTGTTAGAACAGATAGTTGCTAGTTGATGGTTTGGTCACATGATTATGGATCATACATTATTAGAACTAGGAAGTTCCTTCAAGTTTGAATCCAATCAACATCTTAGAAGAAACTTCCTGTGAAACATGTTCCTGTTTATTCCCTCCTCTCCCAGAGTCTGCGTTCATGTGTTCTCTCCTCCCCCGTCGGCCGAGTCGAGCGGAGAGGAGAGAACAGACCCGGTCCTGGTCTGGGTGCAGACAGTTTAGTCTCTAAGTCTGTAGAGAAAACTAATAAAAGTTAAAAGTTTAATTAAATGCTGTTTCCCGCCCTGTGACTCAGGCGGACGGAGCGGCCTCTGCGGTGGCTCCTGATCCACCTCCGCTGGTTTGAGCAGGAGCATGAGAACCAGACTCTCCGAGCGGACCTGAACCTCCCGTACACAGAGCTGCCGTGTTGATGAGCCGTTCTCTCCGACATGAACCACAGCCGCAGAAAACAGAGCTCGGCTCCTCTAAATGACTTTCCCTGTCTGAACGCCCCCTCCCTCTCCCCCCTCCCTCGCCCCCTCCCTCTCCCCCCTCCCTCNGAGCCGTTCTCTCCGACATGAACCACAGCCGCAGAAAACAGAGCTCGGCTCCTCTAAATGACTTTCCCTGTCTGAACGCCCCCTCCCTCTCCCCCCTCCCTCGCCCCCCTCCCTCTCCATTCAGACTTTTTAATTGCTCCTTCAGCCGAACACGCGACGTAAACATGGCCGCCACCTGCGAGCACACGCAGATACACTCACTGTGCACACCTCTGATCACACACTCCTTTCTTTCACACTCCTTGTTAAGCTCTAGTTCCGGTGTGTGTGTGTGTGTGTGTGTGTGTGTGTGTGTGTGTGTGGATATTCATCAGAACCAGGGTCAGACCCATAATGCAACTCTCTGTAAGAAAGCAAAACCACACCAACAGCCCACAGATAAACTGCTGTGTGTGTGTGTGTGTGTGTGTGTGTGTGTGTGTGTGTGTGTGTGTGTAAACAGAGCAGTGTGCTGAGCTCCAGCTGCTCTGACAAAGACCTGAGTCACAAAAATAAAACTCAAGAGGTCAACGAACTTTCAGGGGACGTTCACAGACCCTCGATGACTGGGTGTAAACAACTGAATTATTATTATTGTTATTATTGTTATTGTTGTTATTATTAACGTGTGAACCTGCAGGAGTTTAGAGCGTTTACATGTTCTAACTTGCTCCCGCTCCAGTTTCACTCCAAACACATTAAAGTGAAGAGACACAGAAAGCTGTTGGTTCCTCAGAGACCTCGGGTCGAGAGCAGAACCCCCGACACGGACAGCAGCTTGTTTAACGGAACAGAACAGGTGAGCAGGAGGAGGGAGGAGTTAGAGGCGGAGACTGACGGAGGTGTGAGGTCACAGTGTTGAAGAGAGAAAACCAGAGAATCATCTTTACTCATCACATGAAGAAGAGGAGCAGGACGGACAGGAAGCAGACATGTGCTCATGTTAATGCAGACGTGGATTATTTTTGTATGTATGCAAGGTAGAAGTTAGTGTGTGTGTGTGTGTGTGTGTGTGTGTGTGTGTGTGTGTGTGTGTGTGTGTATTCACCTCTTTGGCTCTCTGCACAGCATCACTCGGGGGGTTTCTGATCTGTGGGGACGACTTGGTGTTGATCTTATCGTACAGCTGAAACACAAGAGTCAGTCACAAACACGAATCAGGTCCACGTGATCAATAACATGATCAATATCATCATCAATAACATGATCACTAACATCTCTTCAGCGGCTGTAAATATATATAATTTTTTCTAACTGCTGCATTCTCCGTGAATACGGTTCAACTGGAGCCAAAATAAAATGTAGAAAAATACTATTTGAGAAATAAAGATAACGATAATCATTTGTTTTCATTTAAAAGAAAAAGTTCTGTAAAAAGAACTTTAACAGAAACTTATTAAAGTTTTTAAGAATTTTTTAAAATCTAAAAATGTAATTTATTTGATTTAATCTGCAGTGACAGTGAGGTCGGAGGTGAAGTCATAACGAGTCAATGACAGATCTGCAAACTGATGATAACCAGCACAAACATGATGTTAAATCTGATGAGAAACCTGTTGCAGTGTAAACGGTTTGTTTTCAGAGGATCAGTGAAGCAGCAGCAGCTCGATATCATCATCTAGTTTAATATAAAGTGTGTTAACGTGTGTGGAGACAGTCTGGCTGAAAGATTTGACAGATTTATTGTTTAAAGCTCCATGTTTCTTCTTCTTCTGTGTTTTATTTGAAGTGTTGATCCATCAGAAGATATAAAAACCATCTCAGTGTAGTTTTACATCTCCTCTCTCAGGCTTCTCTCTGGAGCTCTAGTAACAACAGGTCGGTGAGCCAATCAGAAGAGAGGAGGCTCTGAGCCTCTCTTCTGATTGGCTGACTGTTTTCTGAGTGATCCAATAAAAATATAGCAGATTTCAGGTAAAAACACTCAGAGAAACCAAATCCTGCAAGGTTTGGATGGTGGGTCCAGGTGGGCGGGGCTTGGTGACTGCTTTGTTGTGACATCACAAAGTTCCAGAAGTCCTGACGGCTGGTTTTAAGGCTCAGTTTCTGAATACAGGCTGTGTGCATTTCTCTGTGGACTGAGGCTTTGATACTTTCACAGTATTAATATAGAAGCTAGAGCTGATCTATAATCACACTACACATGGACACAGACCGTCACACTGGAGGAGCTTTAAAAAAAAAAAACAAGTGGAAACTGGTTTATTTCTTCTCCACTTGTCTTGGTTTAAAGCGACGGCACCAGTTCTTCTGTTTTATTCTTTTTCTTTTCGAACTGTGAACAAAAACAAACTGTCTTCTCTCTTTTCTCCTCTCGGACCAAACGACAGACACAAGAGCTCTGTTTGTAAAAATCCCAGCTGACTAATAAACTGCGCTGACTGGAGCGGCTTGTGTGAGGCCGGTCACAGACTGAGTGTGGGTGTGTGTTTAAGAGAGAACGGCCATGAAACACAGACGGCAGCTGCACAATCAAATCAAAGCATGACACCACGTCCGTCTGAAACAACTGTTATCATATTCAAAGAAACAAGCAGCTGATGTTTGATCAGCAACCTGCCGCACACACACACACACACACACACACACACACACACAGAGGCAGAGACAAACAGAGCTTTTGTACCACACAGTTCAATGCAGCGCTGAGACCCAACACTCTCGGCATCATGTGATGTTCGACATCATCTCAGGGAGGATGATGAAACAACAACATTCACCACAACAAATCTGCATCGCGTTCATGTTTTACATTTGCAGTAAAGTTCAGTCAAACTGCTTCACAGGTTCAGTTTGCTCCAAAGAAACTAAACATCTGTAAGCGTCGCACACACCTTTCAGGTCCAGATGCTGAAACACCCTTTACACTGTACCACACTGCTTTCTAAACTTTCTAAAACTACTTTGTTTCACAGGGACACAAAGCTCAGTAATGAATCCTGTCCTGTTTCTAGAGCGTTTTGCATTCACTGCTGCAGAACAGAAAGACCACATCACAAGTTAAGGTGTTTACAGCTGTCCAAATGACTGAGGCGTAGATCCTGCTGCTGTAGAGACAGGTGAGAAACGATGAGAAAACAACAGAAAACCCTCACAAAGTTTCATTTGTGGTTTTGCACTTGAGATTCCACTCATTTCCTTCCTTCTGTCGACCGCTGCGTCCGGTGGGTGTGATAGTTTGAAGCCTCCCCATGCACCAAGTGTTTGTGACATTATTGTGAAAGATGCTTGATTTTGATTTTTTTTTTTACACCTCAGCCTCTGCTGGTGCATCTTAAAGACAGAGCGGACAAAACACAGACCATCTCTCCATCTCCTGGAGAGGGGAACATCTGATGACACCTGAGGAAACTCTTACTCTCGTCACAGTTTGAAATGTGCAACTACAGTGTAGACGCCTTCAACATGTTTTGTTATAAACAAATCACGAGTTTGCATGTCTGGATTATAGTCCCCGTCCACAAACATCTGGACGGCGCAGAGTTTGTGTCACTTGCTACAGGAGCCTGAAGTCATCGGACTCATGAGACGGAAGAAGGAACTTTCCTGCTGAGATTTAAACACTGTAAGATGAACATAAGGGATAATCTATGTGGCCCCTCACAAATCTCATGTAGCTTCTAGTTTTAACAATCATATATAAATAAATTATGTAGAGCTGCAGTCCAGAAAGTACTGTATAACATCTGTAGACGGGTTTCTGGTTTAGTTTTGTGCAAAATAAAAGCGATTAAAAAAAGAAAAAAACAGTTGAGAAAACACGCAGTGAAAGTGTTTCCACGGAGAGATGTGGGAGGAAATCTGCATCTTTTCCTCTCGTGATATCGTTCAAATTAAACACGACCTCCCTGATAGGACAGCAGCCATGACTTCAGTGTGGAAAAAGTGTTTCCTTTTCAATTTTGCCAAAATATTACTTTGTCAAATCGTCTGGAAAAAAAAAAAAAAAAACTTTTTTTTCGAGATTCATGTTTCAATTCCTCGTTTTTTAGTTCGCAATTTCGACCTGTGCATTAAGCAGGTGGATGGAAACACACCATGTGATGTGGATGTCACGGTGCATA